AAGTGATCACATTAACTCATAATCATGTTAATTATTATATTTTTAATTATTAAATTAAAAATAATAAAAAATTATATTAAATTAAATATATATCAATCATTTTACTATGAAAAACTTCATTTGTTTTAGTATTAATTTCTTGGTATTCGGTAATCATATTGGATTTTGATTAATTTAGAATCGAGCTGCATCGGACCTCATTAGAGAAAACCTCTCTCAACACCTATTTATCGATTCATAAGACCCAATTCGAGATTTTATTTAAGGAGAATCAAGTTCTTTCCACTCGAAACAAACACTTGGGTGGTGGAAAACTTCTTTTAATTATAGGAAAGGCCAAAACCCCTATTTGCACCCTTCATTTATTTACTTTTCACGATCAACACTTTTCAAATATTTTCCTTCTGATTAACACCCTCTACTTTTTAAAACCCATGAAAAAGTCAATATTTTAACGGACCATCACGTCACTGTTAAAAAATATAATACGTGGCATTCAAATAATGACGTGGATGTTACATGACATTATTTATGCAATGTGAACGATTTTTTGATGATGTGGCATGATGATGTGACATAATTTCATATGAAAGAAAAAACTAAAACAAGGTGGGATCTAGGTTCCTCATGGAACCTAGAGTTTGGGTTCCTCACGAGAAAGAACCTGATATGGGTTCCATCGTGAGGAAGCCAATTTGGGTTCCTCGTTGAGGTTCGATCGCACGACGAGGAACTCAACTCTGGGTTCCACAAGGAACCCAATTTGTACCCTTCTTTCACCTTTCTTTTTTGTGATTCTTTTTGGTTTTGATAGAATAATAAGATGATTATTTGATTATTTGATTATTTGATGGGTTCTCAACTTTTCTTGCAAGTGAATTAAAAGATTGTTCACTTTTTTTTTCTAATCTGAATCAACCTCCATTAAAACCAGGGATGAAATCTTGTTCGATCTTCCATGGAGGTTGGGTTCCCTGAGAAACCCAAAACTAGGTTCCTCACAAACCCAGCTCTGGGTTCGTGGAACTTAATTTTGGTTCATGGAACCCCAAAACCTGAGTTCCTTACAAAACCTAGGAGGATGATGAAGAGGATGATGAAGAGGACAATGAAAAGGATACAGTGAAGATGATGTTGAGGATAAGGAGAAAGAAGAAAACAAAAAAATTAAAATTAATTATGATTTAATTCATTCAATTTTATGTTTTAGCTCCTTTTTTTTTTTTTGGTTAGGAGATATTCATATAAAATTACGTCATGTCATTATGTCACATTATCAAAAAATTGTTCACATTAGATAAATAATTTCACCTAACATTCATGTCTTTATTTGAATGTCATGTATTATATTTTTTAATAATTATTAATGGTAATGATGATCCATTAAAATATTAAGTTTTTTTATAAATTTTAAAAAATAAAAAAATATTAATAAAAAAGT